ACACAGACTTGTCAAAAGATCGCCGAAACGAGTGAGCGGGGGGAGGGGGGGAGGGAGGGGGGGGGAGGGGGGGGGGGGGGGGGGGGGGGGGGGGGGGGGGGGCTATTTTGATAGTCAGGGTACATATCTTATAAGGATTATAAACAGATCAACTTGTTAAGAAATTATTTATTTTATTTTAGAGTAACAAATAAACAAATATGTCTATATATGTATATATAAAAAAAAAAAAGTTTTCGAGTTAAATTGGATCGGCTAACAGGCGAGAAATTTATTAACGTTAAATCATCATTAATAATTTTTTTTTTTCCTCCCCTTTTTCTTTTCCTGTTTTCTTCAAAAAAATCATTTGATGAATAAACAGAGTACATAAATGCAGACTTCATTCGGATAAGGAAGACTGATACCGGGTAAGATATATTTGGTAACCCTTCCTTTAGTGTATAACTTTCTATCTCGAGAAATAATTTTCTGAAATTAACACGCACGCCCAAAAGAAACAAAAAATGGAAACCCCTAAAAAGGACTACAAATTAAGAAAGTCATTCTATTTCGGAATACCCGTATTCTTCGAAAATATGTAATTAACTAGTTTTTCCGTGATTAGAGTTACGACTCGTTGAGTACCAACTTCCTTATTAGGAGACCGTTTTATTTGCCATTGTATAACCTGACTGAACCCATAACATTGATGATTGGTATTCGTTAAGCAAATATGAATACATGAATACTCTGATCGTTTCTCGAGAGGTGTGCCATTTTTTCCATTTTTGGCCAATAATTTAAAATGCAGATCAAATTAGTTTTTTTTTATCCTTAGATCCTCGCCCTTTGCGCGGGGGACATTTCCACTCCATCATTGCAAATAAAATCTAACAAGATGATCTTGTTATATTATTAATAGGCAAACTTTCTGGATGTATGCTGAAATCCATTAGATGCAAATATTTTTTTGGGAATTGATATTATAATTAATTGATACTGTGAATGATAATATAATAATTATAATAAATGCATGCAATTAATAGATTAAACTGATAATGCCATTATAAGTGGAATGAAAGGTTTGATAACAAAAATTTCTTATAAAAAAAAAAAATCAAAAAATATTTGACGTTTTATTTTCAGTAGATCACCCCTGTTTAATTGTTTAATCAAACTTTTACCGGCATTTCGGGTCACTTGCAGATCGATCGGATGTTTTAAATTCACCTGCTGATTGGTTAAACAAATTTTTTGCTCCCAAACATCAGTTGACAGATTAGAATGATAATGTCAAGATTTTTTTTCAAAAGGTTGACTTTTTGATTGGTTAAACGAATGATTTTGAGTTACATGACACTCATATAAAGACTTCCCGTCAACTGCTTGTAGGTTTGTAGTACAACTAAATTATTTTACAACAATCAAACTGCAAATAGATTCCTTTAAAAGGGAAAGAACTTCGTAAAAATCAATTTATAAACATTCTTATTTCAACAAAAAGAACAATTAGTTAAAAATAATTCTCACGAATATGGGAAATAAAAATTCTTCTTCAAATCTCAAAAGAAAACAGAACACTCTTTTTTTAAACAAACATGAAACCATTGATTCAATTGAAGGAGAGAAACCGAAATATTACCTACCAAATGATTCAAATGATATCGATGGACTTCATTTGATACATTTCTTGAAGAAACATTTATATCATAACAATTTCTCCGTTCCTATCGAAGAACATCTAATTCAAGGAGGATGTAAAGTATTGGACGTTGGGTAAGTGAAGAAGAAAACGTCAGGTGAGAAATTTTAAAAGAACATAGTTTTAAAATGGGTTTTCTTTTTTTTTTTTAAAAAAAAAAAAAAAGGTGCGGTCCTGGTACATGGTTATTGGATCTGTCGATGAAATATAAGGATTCTTATTTCTTTGGATTAGACATAATGCCGGTATTTCCAATTGAGGTAAATTAAATTATATATATATTTCAAGAAAAAAAAAATTAATAATGGCAAAGAAGATTAATATGTTGTGATATTAAAATATTAATAGATAAAACCAAAGAATTTGGAATTTATTGAATCAGATATATTTAAAGGGTTGCCATTTCCCGATAACGTATTTGATTTTGTACATCAAAGTTCGATGTTATTTGCTGTAAGAACGGACCAATGGGATTATGTGATTTCTGAACTCATAAGAGTAACGAAGCCAGGTGGATTCATTGAACTCGTAGAATTTACCGGAAGCCAAAACAATGGTCCAGCCTTAACTAATCTATATGACATCTGTAAGTGTGTACTAACTTTCTTGATGTTAATTTTTTAATTTCATTTAATAATCATATATATTTAATTCACATTTAAAATTTTAGATCAAGATTCTTGTTCTCAACGAGGCGTAGACTTGTTGTTAACATGTAATCTCGATAACATAATTCAAGCAAATGGAGACATAACCAAAGTTCAAAATGATACAAGATCATTTTTAATTGGACCAAATGGTGGTAAGCTTGGCATGGTAATGCAAGATATCTTTTTGATGTATAATACTTCTGTAACGTCAATCGAACATTTAAGTTCGAAGCAAGGAATTTCTAAAGTAGTAGTTAAAAATATGCTAAATGAAATCGTAAATGAATTAAAAGTAACCAAACCAGAGATTAATATTAGCAGATTTTGGACCCGAAAAAAAGCCACAATAGAAAATTTTTTTTTCTTCTCTCTCTTTTTTTTTATATATATAAATATAAATATATAAATATATATATATATTAAGATTTTAAATAAACGTTTTTTTTTCCTTTGTGCTATTGTGTCAACAAATGTCTCGCGCCATATTAATTTCCCAGTTTTCCAAAAGTAGCGATTGATTGACAAAACATTTATATAAATAATATATGAATACAAAAAATGAAGAACTGCATAGTTTCCCCTGATCGACAAGAAGAAAAATCTGGGCAAAATTTCAATTATCAATAATAGCTTTCTGTTATTGTCTATTTGTTCCCAAATTATTATACATTCTGTTAATAATAACAATGTCTTCAAATAAGAACGATTATTTGGTATTTTAAGTTTTGCTGTTCCTTTGAAATAGAAATTTATGTAATAAATAAAGGTTTGTAAATAGCAGGTGATAAATCATTTATCTCCCGGGAGATTAGTAATACTAAATTTTTTTTTAAAAAAGAATAAGTATACACCACCAACGGGTTCATTTAAAGAACTAAATGCCTATTAAGAAAACGAAAGGAAGAATATATCTTGTGTATTGATATCTCACTTGATCATTATTAGTTCCAAATCAACCGATTAAAATAATTGGTAAAATGCAATAACACGATGGATTCCAGTTTGAAAGAAAAACAACTTTTAATTCGTAATTTGAAAATTTGTAATTTCCGCCAAAAAAATTATCCCGAAAAAAAATAAGTTTACCATAAAACTTAACAAATGCAATAAACCTTTGTAGGTTGCCCCGACATAAGAATGGGCTTGTATCGAAATAATAGAATTGATTATATATATTTAATAACACAATATGTTTAAAATGCTTTGCTTTGTCAAGGTAAAAAAAATCGAGCTTCCACATAAAAAAATAACTGTCTATCCAGTGGAGTGAAGATCAGGTTTGAATTTTTATCAACGAGCGTGAAAATAATGACAGACTCCCAAAAGGTGAAAAAGGCTCCTCTTGATGGAAGTCGCCAGAAAGATACAATACTACTTTCAGTAGCGAGCAATGCAACAATAACTTCCTAACTCAGGCTTACTTCTAGCAATCGAAGAAAATAAGTGTACATATTACCTGACCGCCTTCACCATCTTTATTTCATCAAATGACCCGCGTCTATCTTAATGGGACTGGACAAAAAAGAAGTTTTAGTTAGGGAGAAGTATATGAAGAATTCCCGTAATATATCACGGAGTTCAGTATTAACTGGTGAAAGCATGTCATATCGTAATTTAATTTCAAAATAAATAACGAAAGTCATAAATTTATTATTCTCTCATATATCTACAAATTTACATGTAAAATTAACAGATAATTACTTTCTTCTTAAGAATTGAACCCACTGATGGTAAATAGCTTAGCTTTTGTCATCCTTATATGGTGTTTGCTTGATAGAGATTGCTAAGAATGGTATATATAAAATACAAATAAATAACAATCTTGACACAAATAAGAGCCTTCGGGCCATAATACGTACGTAGGGTCGGTCAACAGTCGGTCAAAGGCCTAGAACCGACCGACCGGTTAACTGACCGATTTTAACTGACCGGTTGACTGACCGGTTAATAGTAATATAATTGAGTAGTTTTCGCTTAATAGAAGTTTTAATTTAGTAAAATATTATAATTTTGATTCTTGCTTAACAATTCTAGCATGGCATTTTTTAAAACTACTTTGTCATTTTATTTAGTAGCGCAGCATTATCGCGAACTTTAATTATTTTTTTTTTCAAAATTTCAAAATCTTTAATTTATATATTGTATAATTAAAAATAAAATGATTATTCAATCTCGGTCAAAGTCTTTGACCGACCGATATCGGTCACGGTTATGACCGGTTATGATCGGTGACCATTAGCATCCCTATACGTGTGGAATACATAAATAATTTAATTGCCTAAAAGTTTATTTTGATTTGCTAAGATTGATCGATCACCAACTTTATATGTACAGTACGTGAAATCTAATATTATGATTAAATTATTACGAAATCTCTGGGCTTATATAATATGATGATTTAAAGTGAATTGTACTTTACGTAATATACATTCTATTATAATGCATCTTCCGCATATACTTTGTCTTTAACAAAACAGATGCGAATGAATAAATCAGAAAGATACAAATTTAAACGTATTATGTAGTTTAAAATAAGAGGTGACACTCGAAAAATAATAAAGCGTCTTTCAAATAATTTTTAATTTGTACCTGATCACATTTATCACACCGTGTAGAGAACACCATGAGTTTAATTAATAATTAATTGACTTGTGAGATTAATTCAAGGTATCATTTTTTAATTATATAACATGGATCCATTTGTGCAATCATTTGTAATATAATCATTAAACGTATTAATTTATACCTCAACGCCATAATTAGTCATGAAAATAATATATTTAATGTTAATGGTGCATTTAAAGTTTTTATTATGAATCTTCTTAATACCAAACATATCTTAAAACAATCTTTAAGTTTTGCTGTTTGATTGGATCAGCATTAGAAACATTTAGGGAATGAGGAAGAGCAAAGAAATAATATGACTTCTTTATTATTTGTTGTAATTATATTTCTAAAAAAAATGAAACATTGAAAAATAAAATCGTAGCAAAAAGAATTTTCTTCTTGTACTTCTAAACAAACTATATTCAAGTTGATCCTTTCCATTCTTTAGGAATTTCTATTTGAGAACCCAGTAGTTGGTTCTAGTCCAAATTCAATAGAAATCGCATTCTGATTGGTATAACTAATACTTAAAAATTAATCGACCCGTAAGACGTATCGTTTACGAAAGATAATTTTGTATGAAGCGGATTTTTAACACTCATCCCACTCAATTAACGATATATGGGAAGATTGCTAGGAAAAATCAGGTTCTGAGAATTTTTTATTGCATTTTAGTTGTTGATGCTATTAGATTAAATCTTGTGATTATTAATTCACTTTTTTTTTTTTAAATAAATTTTTTTTTTGGAATTTTCATATAAATTTTCAATACCTATCAAGCCGAGAGGTTATCTATCATCAACCTGCTGGCATTTGATTAATTTTCTTAATTAGTTTCTTAAAATGGGCATTTTAGGTAACAAGTGAATATTCTGAATGTAAAAGAAAATATATTTTTACGATTCATATTACTATTTTATAAATAAACTCGTAGAGAATAAACTCAAAAAAAAATCGAAACCTTGAATCGATGAACACTTTATAGATATTTTTTTTTTGAAAGTGTTAACAAATAAAACTATTTGATTGATCGAATATATCATTGCAATCCTTTTTAGAATCATAATCATCCATTATTTAAATTTCAGGTAATAATTTACCAAAAAATGACGTGAAATTTTATGGGTCTTTATTTTCTACGCACATGCAATGTAGGGTGTGTTATATAATAGGTGACAAATAAAAAAATTTCTATAAAAAAAAATTCCAAGTCCCCAGAATAAACCGTAAAAATGAAACACATAGGGGCGTGATGCGTTGTGATAAATAACCCCTACCCCTAACCCTAACTCCGCTTCAACATATATAAATATAGGGGGGTGCATTTTATGCAGGGTGCGCAAAATACAATTTCTCAAATTTATAACCTAAAATGATTTTAAATCTAACTAATGGGAATGGTACTTTAAAGATTAAAAATTATAAAAAAAGGGATATTAAATCATTTTTACAATTCAAAAAACTGTTTTATAAAGTAATTTAACACATATATATATATTTATTTATTTAGACATCAATTAAATATGAGAATCCTCAAGCATTATATCTACAAAAAGTAAGATAATATAAATGTAAATGTAATTATTATAAAATCAATTCAACAGATTTAAACCACCAAATTTAATCTATAATAAATTTGACTTTGTGCATCAAGTTTCAAAAGTGCCATTTTTACAAAGAAATCAATGGGAATTTACTTTATTGAATCGTATCTTATAACAAAATAAAAGGAAGAAAACCATTTTATTAAAAACAATCTCATTGTTGAGAATATTGCTCATATATGCCAACAACTCTCCCCAATTAATAATTGATGCGTTCTTTAGTCATATAAAATTGTATCTTAAAACAAAATGTGAAGTAAAGTAATACATGATCTTGAGGTTTCATCGAGATGAAAGAGAGATTATTAGGACTCAAAGGTGGTAAAATTGGAATAGTGGGAGGTTTTTAATAAAATCACGTTACGGATCATATGATTTACTATAGGCCTGTTCAATTCCTGATCGTTCGGATTTTTGATCGGGTTTTGAATTGGCAGGCGAAATTGTGTAACTCGATCAGCAATTCAATCAGAAATCCCCAACTCAATTCTGAGTTTGATCACATGTTTGGATTGGTTAACGGATTTTGCGACCAAAAACCCGAACGATCAGAAATGAACAGGCCTTATGTTCGTAACTCGATTTTAATAGCAAACCTCCCGGTTTTCGAGAAATTGGAAATGTCTTGTAATGACTGAACTTTTAAAGTTCTGAAATAGGAGTTTCCAAAAAGGTATTGATGGGAAATGGTCTAACGGAAAAATTAGAAGAAACCAGGCCTGAATTCATTTTTTTTTTTAAGATTATGAATAAAAAAAAGACAAATAAAATAATTGCTTATAAAAAAAGTTTAGAAAATAAATATGTTTAATTACTATTTTAGTATTTGTAAGATAAAATATATATATATATATATTATTGAATATTAAATTTCGCATCGCATAAATTAATCATCATGGGTCAAGTTAAAATTATCATAATATTACACGAATTTATGTCCTGGCTTCAAAATTTGGGCCTTTATATTTAACAATATATCTAATTTTACTGCATCTAATTAATATATTAAAAAGCTCGTCTTGATTTCTATATAAAAATGATTTTCAGTGCATGACAATGATAGAATATTCGAATAGCAAATTAGAATCATTTCTAATATAGAAAATAGCATGCATCCCATTAAATATATAATATATAATTATTTGTGTATCGTATATGATTTAAACAAAAAATTATCCAAAATCATCAATGACGGTCAGTCCCAGATTTACGCCTTTGCAACGTTACCCAAAAGCTACAGTTTAAAACCTATCTTTATCTAATTCATTAGCTAATCAAATTTCTGCATACATGAATATTATACAACCTGATTAATTTACCAGAATATCAAATTTTGAATCTAGAACCTGAAGAAAATGTGCAGACATAAAGAAAATAATTTTTTTATCTACTTAGTAACCATCCAATTCTATATTTATGGTTTTAAAATAATTTTACTAATTCTCATGGATTATGTGAAAAACCGATAATTTAACCAATTTTAGTTACTCTTCTCATTAGTTAATATACTGTTCGTTTTAAATTGTCACAAAAATCTATACCGGTTTGGATACTTCCCTTTGCGTTCTCATTGCTTTTAGGATTGATGCAAACCAATCGTAACGACATATATCAACAAAAATTTATTCGGACTTAACATAAATGGAAATTTAATTTAACCTCATTTCTTTATAAAAAGTTCTCCAGCTTATTATTACTATGTATAAATAAATTCATTTCCATTCTCTTCATTCTTTTTGAGGGAAAAATTTGTCCTTACTTATAATTATGGGTATTAATACTTCACGTTTAAAGGGTAGAAAATTAATAATACAAAGTCTTCCAGAGAATGTGCAAACAAAATCCGACAAAGTGATACAGCCAAGCTGTTTCTTATCGAATGATGTTGAATACGTTGGAAATATACATGCATTTCATTTCATTAAAAAAAATTTGTTTCAAAGTAATTTTTCTTCACCAATTGAAGAAAGACTAATTCAAAGTGGATATAAAGTATTGGATGTTGGGTATGTGGAGGGATCGAATTAACAAATATCCTTTTTTTTTTTTTTTTTGACATATAATAATTTTTACATTTTAAGATGCGGTTCTGGTACATGGTTATTAGATATGTCAACTAATTATGAAATGACTCACTTTTTGGGACTTGATTTTCAATCAATATATCCACAAGAGGTAATATTATCATCTATAAATCTTCTATATAAATGTTAAAGGAATTAACATTTCAACATAATTTTAATAGATAAAACCACCAAATTTAAATTTTATTCAAGCAGATATATTGGATGGATTACCATTTCCTGATAATGAATTTGATTTTGTGCATCAAGATACAATGGTTAGTTCTTTAAAGAAAGATAAATGGGAATTCGTTATATCTGAACTCGTTAGGTATTTAATTTATTTATTTGATTTTATTTTTTATATGCTGTACATTATGTATACCATTACAGATTTTGTTATCGTCCTAAATTAGGGTAACTAAACCAGGTGGATATATCGAAATAAATGAAACAATTCAGACGTTTAATGGTTTTGGACCAATTATGCAGAAAATATTTAATAATTGTAAGTGGATTTATTATGAATTATTTCGTTTTTATCTACTGTTTATTAATAATATAATATGTTATATTTAAATATAGACAATTCGTTCCTCTTGAAACAAGATTTGGACTTCAAAGTAATGCATAAACTTGATTCAATGCTTGAATCACACCCAAACATAACAAAAGTTTATCGAGATGAAAAAGAGATGATTGTGGGACCCAATGGTGGTAAAATTGGCTTAGCTTGTCAAGAGAATTTGATAGCGCTTGTTAGTACAGAAATGACGACTCAAATTTTAAGTTCTGAAATAGGAATCTCTAAAGAGGAATTTATAAATATGATAGGAAATGATCTTGCAGATGAGTTAAAAGAAACCAGACCTAAATTTACTAATTTTAGATTATGGACTCAAAAAAATAATAATCGCTAATCCAATTTTTTTTCTCTTTTAATAATACTGTATAAAATATAATTTGATCTATATAATTAAAGAAAGCTAAAATAACACTCGTCTTATTTTTTTGGTCGAAATTTATATTGGCTTAATATTTGGTATATCGATATTATTAAATTCCGCGAATATGTAACGTTTATGAATATACTAAGTTGCTTAGGTTCAGTTTATATTTAAAAGAATATTTAGAGTCGAATTGGACGATTTGAATCCATCTTCAAATAATTCATGTCTTAATTATTTAACTAAATGAATAACTAAAAACATAAATCTTTCACACATACTTTTAATTTCTTAATACAATCTTATATTAATTTTTAAAGCTCTAAATGAGATGAAAACTCTTTTATACTTTAAACCTATTATCATTTCTTCTGTTTATTAGTTAATTTTAAACCTTTTTTTTTATTACATATAATTTATTTATTAAATAATATCCTTTATCTAATATTAATTTTAAATAAAGTTAGTATTTATAGTATTTAAAAAACTAATTTGAAATTTAATACTCATTTATTATTTCTTATATTTATTAATATATAAAAAGCAGTTAGTATGAAAAAATAAATTTAAAAATTTTATATTTAAATCTTTTCAAAAATTAACATTAAACTTATTTTATATAAATCAATTTAGTATTTTATAAAAATAAATTTAATAATTATAATAAAATAAATAAAAATTTATAAGATTTATTAATACTAAAATTAATAATAATTATTAATTATTAATTTTTTAAACCTTTCAATAATAATGTTATTTATTTTATTTAAAATTAAACTTTTATTAAAATTTATTATAAGATTTATAATTATATATTTAAAATAACTAATAAAATTATTTTATTATTATTTAAAATATATTAATGAATTACAAATGTCTAGCTATCTATTTGCAATTTATATGTAAAAATCTTAAACATTATAACATTCACAAATTATTTGCAAAATAATTATAAAATATTAAAATTTATAAAAAATTTATAAAATATTAGATTTGTATATAATTGAATTAAACTTTTAAATTAATTCAAAAATTAATTAATTTAGTTCTTTATTTATAATTTAAATTATATTAAAATTAAAGATGGTCACCGCAATTAAAAAAATAGCGCAATTGAGTTGCAATATGTGATGCAATTAAATTTCCTTATGGCGCAATTAAGTTGCAACTC